CTCGCTTACGTTACAGTAATTACCTTGAGGTACAGTCCGTGCTTTCTGGAATCCTCACCTTCCTGCTGTTCCTCTTCGTCCGTAACTGCATTCTCCGTGCGAAGGAGTCGTTCGAGCGTGCCCTCAAGTTCTACCCTATCATGGTCGGTGTGACTTTTGCCGTGAACATTTTCTTCATCATCTACAAGGGCTCTCCTCAGCTCAATCTGGACGAAACTCCTCTCTGGTTGGGTCTGCTCATCTCTGTGGTGCTGGGCGTTATCATTTCGGTCGTCCTCACCTTCACCATGGTTCCTTGCCTGCGCAAGCGTTCTCTCAAGATCCAGACCGAGGAGGACAACGCCAAGGCTCAGCCTACCAAGTCCGTGTCTGCGAACCCCGACGCTCCGATGGCTGCTGCCAACACGGCCGTGACTGTCAGTGTGCCTGTGGAGGAGACCAAGAAGGAGACCAAGGCCACGAAGGATGCTCTGGGTGTGCTGAACCAGGACGTGCATGCGGAGCTGAAGGATGAGGAGTCGCAGGTGTACAAGATGCACAAGAACGCTGAGAAGTTCGATGCTCGCACGGAGCACGTGTTCACCTTCGTCCAGGTCGTTACCGCCACCTTCGATTCGTTCTCGCACGGTGCCAATGATGTCGCCAACTCGATTGGTCCCTTCGCTGGAGTCGTTTCCATTTACGTGAACCGCGGAATCTCGGACAAGTCCGAAGTGCCCATTTGGATTCTGATTCTGGGAGGTGCTGGTATCGTGGCCGGTCTGGCGACGCTCGGATACAAGATTATCGCTTCCATCGGAGTCAACCTGGTCCGTGTCACTCCTTCGCGTGGATTCACCATTGAGCTGGGAGCCGCCATCGTGGTGCTGATCGGATCGCGTCTGGGAATTCCTCTGTCGACCACGCATTGCCAGGTGGGATCGACGGTGGGTGTCGGTATTCTGGAGGGCAAGAAGGGTATCAATTGGAAGCTTTTCTTGGAGGTTTTCGTTGGTTGGGTGTTGACTCTGGTTGTGGCCGCTCTGATGGCTGCTGGGTTCCTCTGGTTCGCCATGGGAACCCCTACTATGCTCGTTCCCTTTAAGTAATGTTTACATTCTATGGTGTGTTTGTTTGGAAACAAAGGACGGTGGAGAGATAGAGAGAAAGAAAAGGATTAGTAGTTAGGTATTGACGTGAAATGCATAATAATTTTTGGCAGCCTTTTTCGTGCCATTCCAGCCGTTGTCGGCCATGCTAATCCGTCACTCCGCCTCGTGTCACTATGGAATCCAGACTGCCCCTGACGCCGCATTTCAGCAGGGAACAAGTTTTCGCGCAAAACTGCCTTGCATAACTACTCTCGGGAGAGTCAATGATTCCCCTGTTAATCACGCTGTCTATGGTAAAGTAATTGTACTACTCCATGCTTATTCAAGGCTCACCCAGGAATGGTTATAATTGTTGGGTCATTCCGTGCAAGTATCGGAACCCTTACATCACTTCCATGACTATTTTGTTCAGACCCAATCAAGTCATGTTCAACAATGTGGATTCTACGAATGTGGTCACCAACTCAATGACGAAGAGATAATGATTCCTCCTGGATACTACACGATCGGTCAAATCAATGCCATCCTCAACACCATGACCGATACTACGTTCTCGATATCTACGAAGGCTTCGAGTTATGGATGTATTTATATCCAGTCCCCACATACCATCGATTTCACCAATGCTCCGGATATTCGAGAAATCCTCGGTTTGGAAGAACGAATGGTCATTTTATCCACTTCGTTCTATGGATTGAATGTGATTGATATCACGCGAAATCTTCAGGTGATCCAAGTGTACGTGTCATTCACGATATCTTGTAAGTACAACTTCAGTAAGGTATTCAAGAAGATAGATAGATAGATAGATATCAATGTCTATCTTCTATTTATATATCTGAAAAGTAATAGTTTGATTGTTGCCTCCAACAAATAATCAGCCAGATATGTCTCACAGCTTGATATTGGACAACTACTCATTCCCATAGAGTCCATTCTTATGGATTTCAGCTTTATCATCAACAATACTGATATCGCTATTAGTGAGTAATTCTATTCATCCTAATGAGTTGGGAACCAAAGCATTTCACTTTCATCAACCAACTCAAACAGCAAGTATTATGTATACTATTGTTATTCATGCTCGTAATAGAACAACATTGTGAATCACTTTGTATCCCTATTGAAGTGGTGTACAATTCGATCCTTCCTTTAAATAGGAGATATTCTGCATTATTTGGCAGGTGGGGGATACTATACGGGTTAGAATAAGAGATAGTATTCTCTGGCAATATAACAAACTCTGATAGGTTCAGAGTGCATCAAAACGACAAAAACTGCACACCAACTATCGAAAAACCTAGAAACAGTGGAATATGAATATATCTCTATTTGTTCGTATAAAATATATTATGTATTCTACCTTATTTTGCTCAGTTCTTCAACGACACACCCACCTTTCTCACAAACTCTACTATTCGATTCTACTATACACATATCACATATTATTTATATAAATGATAACCCAAAAACTGCTTATCGCTAGCTTTTCCATTTTCATTCCTATCATCATCTTCTACATACCCTATTTCTTTCTATCCCATCTATATAAAATTCCAAATGAATAGAACGAAAAACAAAACGCTTCCACTGGAAACAACACTCTTCGATCTATTCATTCCACAATATCCCATTTCCGCTCATCTCCTTCCACTTCACAGTAAAAACAACTCCCTCCCTATTCGAAATCTATTCTTCCACTCATACCCAATTTCAACACTATTTTCACAATTGCACAATTCCTGTGTATTTTTGAAATCATTTGTTTTACAATCAAAGCTATTAGCTTCGTCTTACTGGGTTTGAATGTATTCAAAATTTGGAGTTGGACTTGTATGTCCTGTCTTTTGCTTTGTTTTCGGACTTCTATGTGTTTTTGTGTGTTGTGTTGTGGGAATGTAAGTATTGTAGCTGGGATGGATTCTGTCCTCAAGTTGGTGTGTTTGAAGAAGCTAGTGTAGTCTTTGCTATCGTTACTTTGACTAAACTGTGTGTGTGAGATATGCATCGTGAACGCATTCAATACCATAATGGCGGTGGACCCTGGTTCCATTTTTGCTGTGTGGAGTGTGTTCCGAGTGAGGAATTCCTGTGCTTCAAACTGTGCAACGTGGCGAACCCATTTATGCCATGTGCGACCGCGGATACATGGAGATAACTTGCAACGTGGGAGGTATCTGGTACAGGCACGACGTTCTTGCCTAGGATATCTGTTCTGTTTCTCGTATTTTCATTTTCATATTGTGAGGTGGTAGAGTGTGGTAGAGAGAACGGATTTGCGATGAGTGAAAGGGCAAAGTATGGGAGCAAGAGCTGTAGGTTTGTAGAAGCGGAGCGTGTGTGGAACTTGGGAGAATGGGACAAGAAGGCGGAGTATGCGAACTGCTGTGGGGACGGTCCTCGCCTCTGATTGATGCGAGCCGAGTGAATTGGAATGGGCAGTGGGAGCAGGCGAGTTCCAAGACGGTGCAGTTCTGCATTTGTGGGTCTGTGGAGCATGGGAAGGTGGAGGTGTGCGTGGTGCGGGCGTGTGGGAAGTGGTGGAATGGAAGAGAGGTGAGGTGCGTGGCGGTGGTGTGCCCCGCGGACGAAGTGGCGGGGTAGCCGGAAGGGCACTTGGGGCAAGTGTTGGATACGAAGTGCGATGTGGACTAGTGGGGCATGATTACGTATCGCTGCAACGCCTATCAGCAGTGGGAATCGATCGATCGATAGGGGACGGGCTCCTGCCAGCCCATCCTGCCGATGCTGCGCTGCGCTGCGCTGCGTGGCGGGCGATGGGGCGAGGGACGTGGCGCTGTGGACGATGGGAGATGGGAAGCAATCCACGATGTACTGCACGAGCAATGTGGGCGTGGGCGAGGTGATCAACGACCCATTCGAGCCCATGAACATCCACATCGTGTTTGAATTGGCCGAGGCCACGTTCTCCTATCCCACCACCGCGATCTCCATCTCCGACTACACCATTGGGTTCACCTTCGCCTTCGATGGCTCCTTCCCGCGGTTCTGCGAAGGCACGCACGCTCTACATCAATGCCAACAGGTTGGTGTCCCGAAACGGCCTCCCCTTCCCCGCGGAAACCCTCATCGCGACCTTCTCGACCCGCGCCGGCGTTCGGTTGGCGTTCGGTTGGCGTTCGGTTGTGGCCTGCTCGGATTGTGGAGAGCGCGATTGGTATGAGGGAAGTGGAGTAGGCGCAGCGCAGCGCAGCGTGTCTGTGCAGATGGAGGTTCCCTGGAGCAGTGGCATCTCCGATGAAGCCCCGATGGATGGCCTTGATGGGCAGCAATGTGCAGAGCCAGTTCTTCGAGACGCGCTCCGTGTTGGTGGCGGGCGCCATTGTGAACAGCGTGATGGCCATCAGCTGGCGTGTCCGCAAGGGCGCCTCCTGGTCCGCCTTCGCGTCCTTCTCCGTCTACCGCCCCGTCGTGCTGCTGCCTCCCTCCCTGCCTGCCTCCCTCCGCGCCCGTCGTGCTGCTGCCGCCTTCGAAGCCACGCAGGTGCGCTGGGTCTGGTGGTGGTGCGAGCTCTTCGTGCAGGCCTTGGTTGGCTCCCACTCCCAGCTCTTCGCCGCCGACGCGCTCCTCCAAGAGGGCGACGTCCAGCCACCCGAGCTCTCTCTCTCTCTCTCTCTCTCGATGCGTGCGTGGCCTACTGGGTGCGCGTGGCGCTGTGCTCCGCCGCGTGCTCCATCCTCTCCGAGGCCTCCTCTCCCATCACCCTCGCCGCGTATGTCGTCGCGCCCGGCGCGGTGCAGAACCTCGAGGTGGCCGCGCTCTCCTCGACCTCGCTGCGCGTGCAGTGGGCAGAGCCGGCGGAGCTGGGCGGCGCCAGCATTCGGTACTACGTGGTGCGACGCTCGTGGATGGCGTCGATGGCCGTGATCCAGAGCGAGAGCGAGAGCGAGGTCGCCAGCACGAACTGCTTCCTGGACCTGCAGAGCGTGCAGAGCGTGCAGAGCGTGCAGCACGCGCCCATCTATCTGAGCGTGGCCGCGTTCACCGGGTATCTCTCACGCCAAGAGAAGATCCCCGCGGTTCTGTATGCGGTGTGTGTGGAATCAGGCGGAGGGCATTGAGTGGGACTGTGCGATGGCGATTACCGGATCCTTCCATGATCTCTGCACCGCCACGTGCGAGCTTCGCGCTCCCGCGACTTCCTCCTTCCTCCTTCCTCCTTCCGCCGAACCGTCTGGTTCCCCGCGGGACGCGATGTGTGGGACGTGTTGGAGGGTGGGATCCCCGCGACTTCCTACACGCTGGAGTGCGTCCCGAGCGAAGTGGGCAGTGCCGAGTGGATGGGCAGGCAATTCGGAGTGTCCACGATGGCCACGTCGGAATTCGTTGGGTGTTGGTGGTGGACGGCGAGCCAACCTCCTCGCTCACCGGTTCGCTCTGGGTGTGGGTGTGGGTGTGGGTGTGAGTGAGCAGGAATCTGGTGGGCGATGGGGTGGGGTCCGTGGCTCCCTACGAAGGTGTGCAGAGTCGACCGGGCTCTCTGGATCTCTTCCTGTCCAACTGGGCGCAGAACGCCACCGTGGTCTCCGTCACCCAGCCCCTCCGCCTCCGCCTCCGCCTCCGCCTCCGCCTCCGCTTCCTCTTGGCCTACGACGTGACCGGCGCGCTCATCCGCGCCCACCTCGTCGATCACGCCTGGTGCGCCGTGGGTCGCGATGTTTCCACGTTTCCACGATCCAGACCGATTTGGCAGTTGCTGAGAGAGAGAAAGAGAGAGAGAAATGGTTGCGGTGTTTGGTTTGGAAGATGGATGGATGGATGGATGGATGGATGGAATTGTAGAGATGTGGAATGGTTGAAGCGTTGTAGGATTTGAATGAGAATCGAAAATGTGTTTAGGAAGGAAGGAAGGAAAATGTAGATTTAGAGTGTGTAGGGTGTTGGAATGATTTAGAAACATGAACATAATAATAATAAGGTTTTGTAAGTTGATTGTTGAAAGAATAGAATAGAATATTTAAAGTGTATTCTTTGGTTTAGAGAAATGATATTACAGAACAGGAAATCATTTGTTATTAATTTGTGAAGAAAGGTGTCTGTATGAAAAACACTGAAACACAACCAATTTCGATTTGATTCACAATGGTTGTTTTTGTTTTATTCAATCCAATGATTCCTATATGAATATGATTTGGCTAGGATGATAGATGGATGGATGTGATATATGGAATATATACCAAAAAAACACCAATAAAGAGTGATAAGACAAAGTGACTGATGAACGAAACTCTTGCCGATAACAACACTATTCACAAAGATATTAAGAAAATAGAAGTAACATAGACATTTCAGACGATGAAATATACTTTTCCTTGAAAAGAATTTTCAAACAACAACGATTAAAAATGAATTCACCTCCAAACTATTATTACCAAACAATCGAAACAAAAGGAGGCGAAAAACGATCGATTTCTATTCCTAAACTATTCCCTACAGCAAGAATATTACAACACAGTTTAGTTAAAGCAAAGTACTTCAATAACAAAAGCGGAATCATGTATTCATGACCTTGTTAGTCACCAATTATTTCTTTATTGCAAATAAGTGATTCGAAGAGAAAAGATGATGGATATGTTATCACACTAATATGGATATCAAGAACTCAAGGAACGGCTGTTACTCCTGGTTAGTTACAAAACGCATGGCGAAGAGAGGAATAAAACAGATCATAAAGAGCGTGTTTGGAGTGTGAATTCAGCAGAACAAAATGAGCTCGATGGATATGACGACTGCTCTGCACGGCTTTGACGCTGAGCGAACTGATCACGAGCGACTGCACGTGGGAGAAGCAAATGGGAGCGTACGCTATCGAGTTTGTTCCAGTCGATGTTCAGTTGACTCAGATCGATTCGCTTAAAAACCGCGATCGGAGAAGACGGATGTTCGAATAGAATTTCTTGCGAAGCGACTTCCACACGCGGACCGCGCGACTGAGCCTTAGGAACCGCGGAAATCGCTTACTTGCAGATCGATGACCACATTATTGTTTCCATCCACTGATAATTTGTGTTCCTCTCGGTGGTATAGCACCATTGTGGCGGCGTCGAGGGATAAATACGACGGAATCGACTGAATGAACACGCACCCCAACAAAAGAAACGCCTTTGAATTGAAAGTTGTACGACAAACGGAGCCGAATGAAATCGATGAAAAGCCGATCGCGTGGCTGATGACTGCTGATGATGTTGTTCCCTTTCACTCCTTCTCCCAAATCGGACTTCGCCAGTTCTTCCGAAACGACCAGCGAAAAAATCGAAGGGCGAACCAGCGATCGAACGAAGAACTTTGTGTACTACACGTTTCGTTTCCCTGC